ATAGATAGATAGATAGATAGATAGATAGATAGATAGATAGATAGATATGGATGGAGATATATAGAGATATATAGAGATAGATGATAGAGAGATGAGAGATGAGAGGTAAGATATAAATAGATATAGATGAGATAGAGAGATGAAAGATAGAGATAGATGAGAGATAAATAATAGATAGATGAGAGAGATGATAAATATAGACAACGATATTGCAATAGATATGAAGGTGGGTGGGTGGATACCTAAATACTTACATAGATGATAGTTATATATTGAGATGGATATTGATATAGAGAGATATCAAGGTAAGTAGGGAGAGAGAAAGGGAGGGAGAGAGGGAGGGAAAGAATGAATCGCAATAAAAATACAGAATATCCAGCCATTTTAGCAATCTTTCCCTCTGGAGCCCCTGCAGTTTATGCTAAGGCAAGCTCAGCGAGGGGAGGGAAAAAAAAGGGATTTTTTTTTCCACCCTAACCTCCTCTAGAATATATCCTGCCAGGGGAAACGCAAGCGCAAATTAAAAGCCGCTATCTCGGCTGCGAATTGCAGGCCCCACCTTCCCCAGCCGAGAGGCTGGATGGAGCGGGCTGGCAAACATTCTCCTTTCCTTTCTTTTTTGCCCCCCCCCTCTTCCTGCTCAGTTTACACCGTCATCTCGCGCCTGAAGGACGACCTCAGCCGGGGCGATTTCTTCATGGCTTTGCAGAACCAGCCCGTGGCGTTGAGTCTCTATCGTCAGGTGAGGTTTTTGAGCCACGTGCTCTCCGTTGCTGGGGCTGGCCTGGCTGCACAGAAGCCGGCCGAGATAGAGAGAAACAGACCGGACCCTTATCTGCGCATCTTCAGATTTTGGGCTGGAGGATTCTGGGTGTCTCTGACCAACCAAAAATTCAAGTTCCGAGCCTCCTTGCTGTGCGTGAAGGGTTTCTGGCCACTGTGGAAGAGTGTTTTTTTCAAACTTGGCAAGTTTAAGATGGGTGGACTTCAACTCCCAGAATCCCCCAGCCACCACGGAAGCCATGTTGTGGCCCTTAAAGCAGGGGTCTCCAAACTTGGCCACTTTAAGACTTGTGGATTTCAACTCCCAGAATTCCCCAGACAGCATGGCAGCCATGTTGTGGCCCTAAAGCATAGCTGGCTGAGGAATTCTGGGAGTTGAAGTCCACACATCTTAAAGTGGCTAAGGTTGACGGCCTCTGCTCAAACTTTGGGCCCACGAATAAGGAAATAAATAAAATAAATAAGATAAAATAGATCTGAGGTAAAAGTCTCCAAATAATGCGTTTTAAGCCTCCTAGACTTACTCCAGGGGGCAAGAGGGGAAGCATATACATTTAATTTAATAAAAACAAATGTAATTTAAAAAAATGAAAAGGTTCTTAAATAGAAAAAAAATGAAGAGCCATGAGAACGAGGACGATGAATCAATTTATACCCAACCTTTTTCATGTACGGCTCTTGTCCCTCCTCAGTTCTGCAAACATAAGGAGCCCAACACACTTAAAGACCTCTACAATCAAGACGACAACCACCAAGAACTGGGCAACTTCCACGTCCGTAGCAGCTACGTCAGTGAGAAGGTAGGTGCCGTTGCAACGGGGCAGCGGGCATGGAAAAACGCCTGGCAGATTCTGATCCAGAGGAGGGAGGCAGGGAGGGAGGGAGAGAGAGAGAGATTGAGATTAGATAAATTACATAGATTGATATAGATGATAGGTAGACAGACAGATGATAGATAGACAGACAGACACAGACAGACAGACAAACAATGGAGATATAGTGCATAGATTGATTGATAGATCATAGACAGATAGATGATAGATAGATAGACAGATAGACAGACAGACAGACAGACAGACAGACAGACACAGACAGACAGACAGACAGAGACAGACAGTGGAGATATAGTGGATAGATAGATAGATTGATAGATGATAGACAGACAGACAGATAGATAGACAGACAATGGAGATATAGTGGATAGATTGATTGATAGATGATAGACAGACAGATAGACGATAGATAGACAGACAGACACACACAGACAGACAATGGAGAAATAGTGGATAGATTGAGTGATAGATGATAGACAGATGATAGACAGACAGACAGACAGACAGACAGTGGCGATATAGTGGATAGATAGATCAATAGATGATAGACGGACAGACAGACAGACAGACAGATAGATAGACAAGACAGACAAACAATGGAAATATAGTGGATAGATAGATTGATAGATAGACAGACAGATGGACAGACAGACAGACAGAGTGCAATAACAATTAAAATGTACATCCATGTTCATTACTTTGGTATTCATTCTCTATTCTTGTTATCTTATTAACATACATAACATCTCCATTACTATAATGCTCCTCTTCTTAGCATGTTTACTTCTGTAAACCTATTTTCCATATTTCACTAATCTATTAGCTATTTCTAGCTTTC